CGACATAGCCTTTTCCCCGTGGGATTCGGATAATAGGGGAGAAAGATGAACATTATGCCATAGATAACGACGACGGTGCGAGGAGGGAAGAAAAGGAGGAGGAAAAGGATGAGGAGGATAACGTGGACAACGGGACGGTTTGTAGTGTTGTCCAGGCTCTGTTGATGCCCCCCTCGTGCAGGTGGGGGGTGTCATTGCAGATTTTCGGGAGCTGCCGAAGGGTTTCATTTGAGGATTTCTGAAACCTCTTGGGGCTTATGGGGGCGTGTTCGGGTCCTGCTGGCGGCCCACGTGGCGGATTTTTTGGGCTTGGTCGACGTTGCCGAGGGGCCCTGTAGGCTTTGTTGGGGGCCTCTTTGAGCCAGTTGGGGGTTTTGGGGGCCATCTTTTGGTAGGGCTCCCAGGGCCTCTGCAGTTGCCCCCTTTTGGGCCCCTCTTGGGCCTCTCTTGGGGCCGCACTCGGGTTTTTGCTTGCCGTCTTGGGGGCCTCTTGGGCCGCACTGGCGCCCTCCTTGGCCGTTTCTGGGTCGTTTTGAGGGTCTCTCGGGCCAGCGTGGACCAGTGTGAGGTGCCAGCAGATGCCACAGAACCGAAAACGCGACAATCATGCAAAAATGCATAGGATTCATTTTTTCTGGCTTCTTGATGCCCCATGGAAGGTTCTCTTGGGTTTTTTTTCTTGGCGTTTGGGGCCGTGTTGAGACTGTGTTTGGTGTTCTCGAGGCCTCTCGGGCGTATTGGAGCTCTTCTAGGGCCATCATGGAAAGCATCTTGGGATCTTGGCTGCCACGGAGGGCGGAATTCCAGGCTCCGGAGGCCCGAGGGGTGCGTTGTGAAGCCCAGGGGCCCCCTCCCCCCCAAACGCGATTTTGGACCCAACGCCCATTTGATTTCGTTTTGTTTTGGGTATTCGGCTGGTTGGATAGGACGTCCCAGATCCAGTTGCTATCGGCTGGTGTTGTGGCAGAGCAGGGCGTATATACACCAATCTGGAATAAGGATTGAGTAGAGTAGGACAGGAATCGAGTAGAGTCAAGATACTAGCCGGGCCGAGCGAGTCAGCGCACCCCGCCTAATTACAACTCCCCACCCGCAACGTGAAAATCGCGTGTGGCACAATTCGATAATGGGATTGGTGCGCCCCCACCTCGCAAATGGAAGGCGCTCGCACGTGGACCCGCTTCCGACGACCCTGTGAAAGGAAAATTACGCGGCCGCTCAGGGGCGGGAGCGGCAAAACCTCTGATGGGCGCTTTCATGCTATGTGGCGAACGAACCACGCGCCGCGCCCGCGCGAGCGTTACCTCCGAGGGAAATGCGTACGGAGTTTGGGTGAGAGCGAGTGCAAAGCGTGCGGGCCCTCCAACATTGGCGAGTGGAAAGAGTGCGCCGCGTCGAGGCGGGAGCGCCAGTTTCAGGCGACATTTCCCCGGCCCCGATGCGAGGACGAACTACACTTTTGCCCGTTCGCGTGTCGACGAAGTCTGCGCGACGGCTCGCTGGCGATCCGATCCGTTTTCGACCTGGTCCGATTTCGCGATCCGATCCAGCTCGCGCCTGGCGTCCCCGTCAGCGTGCGCGTCGTGCAGGCCCTCCCGTGAGCGCTTCGCTGGGCCAGGGCCTCCAGCGGGAGTCCGAGCTGAGCAGCGTGCCGAGCCCCACCTCTAGCAGGTCCTGGAGCCAACGCCTTCGCCCTTCCCTAGGGGAACAAAAAGTGACATAAACAGAAAAACTCGGAGGTCCGCGCGGATTTCTCGGATCGGCGCTGGGGCCCCCCGCGGCGCCTCCGGCGGGGCCCCTGGCGCGCTCCGCGCGCCAGGGAGGGGGGTCCAGCGCCGATCCGAGAAATCCGCGCGGACCTCAGAGTTTTATGTTTATGTCAGTTTTGTTCCCCTATTTCCCCCTGGCGGAGCCCAGCCGGCCGGAGGGGCTGCGCGCAGGTGTCTAGACCTCTTCCTCGGTGCAGGTTTTGCGGCCGAGGTCGTTTTCCGAGGGTCTCGGGGGCCCAGCGAGGGCCTACATAGGACCAGGAAAAGCAGAAACCTCCCGCCGCGGTTTGTTGCGTGCGAGGAGAGGCCTGGGCACAGCGGGCGCCCTCGTGGCCGGCACGAAGCCCGCGCCTTCTCTTGGGAGCACCTCGACCCGCGCTCGCGGTGCCCTCCTTCCCGATCGCCCCCCTCCCCCCCAGGCCGCCTTCGGAGGGGCGCCAACGATACACCACCACCAGCAGCCCTGGCCAGGCCCATCCTGGGCCCTGGATTGACGTATAGACCTCCAGGCCCAGGCCAGGATGGCCTGCACACCAGTCCAGGGCCCAGGATGGGCCTGGCCAGGGCTGCTGGTGGTGTATTGTTTGGAGCTCTCCTGCGCCTGACCCGTCCGCCGATCGGGCGTTTCCAGAAGTCTGCCTGGCCCAGGTGCCTCGATTCTTCGCTCGGCCGTTGTCCCTCCGCCGTGGCGTCATCCTGTGGCCCTCGCTCGCTCGTCGTCTCTGGGCCTCGTTCGGTCCCCGCCTGCTGCCAGGGAATCAGCGCTTGACTCTACTCGTAGGTTGATAGACCTCCTACTCTGACACGTCGATCAGCGAATTGGCCGTTTTCGGTTCGCGAGAGGGCGTCGCGGCCGTCATTTTTGCGGGTCCAGGTCCGTCGGTTTCGGTCCCAGGCCGTTTTCGCTAAAGGGAGGTTTACTAAAGGGAGGCTTGTCCACCGCCGAATGAACGTCTTTCCAAGGTTACCCTTGCATCCTTCCCCTTCGGCCCCACTCTCGGCCACCTTCACTGGCCGCGCCCCGCTCGCAGAGTGCCGACGTGGCCTTCGCGGCCCTTGCATTTTTGCCGTGCGTCCTGCTTCTGCGGGTTGACTGCAAGCCGCGCCCAAGACAAAAGCACGTGTGCCTGGCCCAGGGTGCCCCCAGGCTCTTTGGAGCTCAAGGGACGGGGGTCAATGCGAGCGGGGGCCAGCCAGGGCACTGGATCCTGCAGGATCCTGTGAAGACCCCCTCTGGCTGACCCGAGTTAGCGAGCCGCTCGTGGCCGCGAGGCGGCCGCGCATGTTGGCTGACCCGGGTTTACGAAGCCCTGCGTTGCAGGTGTGTTTTCCTGCACTGCAGTTTTTTTGGTTTCCTGCTGACCCGGGTCTGGACTGACCCGGGTCAGAAGATCCCTGAGCTCTCGAGTCGAACTTGAGTCGAACCTGAGCCGAGCAGATCCATTATGTAGGCCTCAGAAAGGTCCCCCAAACGAGGATCGAAGATTTGGCGACCGCGCGCCACATCCGAGGAGGCCGCTGACCCGCGGCCTCCTTGGGAACCGTGGGCCCCTGGCGCGCCGCGCGGAGAGGGCCTGCGGAGGGCCGCGCCCTGCCGCTCGCGCCCTCGGAGCCTCGGGGCCTCCCTGGCCCGCCACCGGCTGGCGCCAGCCGGGCCTCGGGGCGGTGGGCTGCTCCCCTCACCGAGCGCGCTCCACTGCTCGCAAAGTGCCTACGCGCAAGCGTCCGAAGCAGTACACGTCTGCCTCGATGTGGTAATGTATCACAGATCTGATGGGCTTGCTTGTCACCGCCACAACCTCAAGTAGGAGGGGGAGGGGGTCCTCTTTCTCCTCCTCCTCCTCCTCATCCACCTCCACCTTCACCTCCTCCTCCTCCTCCTCCTCCTCCTCCTCCTCCTCCTCCCGCCTCCAACTTATGGTGGTGGTGGAAGACAGGCCCATCAGAATCCCCCATCGCGGATCCAGGCCACTTGCAAGTGGTTCCTTGGCGAGCGGTGGACTGCGCCCGTCTATCCCCCGAGGCCGCGCGGCGGAGGCCACCGGGGTCGCTCCTCTGTGTGCCGCCGACAGGACCAGCGGCCAGCTGGACAGCGCGCAAGTTGTCAGGAGGGAAAAAGACACGCAGACACAAGTAATCGTCGAATCCCCAGAAGATATGAAACTATGGGAAGTGGGGGAAGACAGAACCCCAGAACATATGGGAAACTATAGGGAATCCTGTTATTTGTGTCTATTTATTTGTGTGTCCCAGGGCCCCTTCAAACTGGACAGCATGCAAGTTGGAGAAACAGCTTCGTACACGTGAGCTCTCGATGGTCGGCGCGGATTTCTCGGGTCGGCGCCGGATGAGTCTTGGGGCTGAGGTTGAGCCCTGGGACCGAGGTTGAGCCACAAAGGAGGGGAAGTGAAGAGGAGGAGGAGGAGGCGGAGGGGGAGAGGGAGGACATAAACATCGTGCGTCGCTATCCGTCGTTCGGTCGTTCCTTCTTCTCTATCTCTCTCTCTTTACCTCTTGCCGTGTTCTTGCCCCCTACCCGGGGGTCGCCGGAGGGAGGGTCTCGCGGGCCCCACCTGTTCCAGGAGACAAGTCCGCAGGCTTGAGTCTGGAGGAGGAGGAGGAGGAGGAGGAGGAGGAGGAGGAGGAGGAGGAGGAGGAGGAGCCCGAGGAGGACCAGGAGGAGGAGGAGGAGGAGAAGGAGGAGCAGGATGAGGAGCAGGATGAGGAGGAGGAGGCAGTGTTTCACTCCTCGATGTCGGCGCCTTTCTTTTTGGCGGGAGCCCCGCCTGGGATTTTCGTGGTGGTTTCATGGTCTGGCTGGGGCTGCCGCTTCCGCCTCCTCCTCCTCCTCCTCCTCCTCCTCCCTCTACTCGCCCCTCCTCTTGCTGCCGCCGCTGCTGCAGGGAACGGGGGCGCCGCCGCTCGCAGCCGTTTGAGGCTCGCGAGGCGTGGCGTGGGCAGGTGCGCGCGGTTGCGGGGGTCTTCTCCCGTCGTCTTCCCGTCAAGTCGGGTAGCATGCGGAATTCTCAGTTCAGTGTTCGGCCTTGGCCTCGATTTCGTCGCCTCGATTGGACTTCAGCCTTGACATTGATGAACCAGAACTCGGCTGCCGTCAACGACGAGCCGATGCCACCCCAACTTAGGGGGCTTGCATGTGGCTCACAAGGCTGAGGCAACCCCCTGCGCAGCCTTCCCCCCCGCTCCCGCCCGCCCTTCTGGCGTGCCCCCCAGGTGTGCGTCCTGGGATACTGCATCTTCCCGCTGGTCATCGCGGCATTCCTGTCCTTCCTGCTGAAGGTCATTTGGCTGAAGGCGCGCGGTGCGGCCCATTCGGAGCGGGCAGCCGCGCCGTGACCGGGCTCTCCCGTCGGCGGTGCCGCTGATGTTCCGACCAGGACGAGGAGGAGGAGGAGGAGGAGGGGGAAGATGAGGAGGGAGAGGAGGGGGGCAGGTGGCTTATGTTGCTGATGACGATGATGATGATGTTGTTAATGATGATGGTGGTAGTGGTGATGATGTCGACGATGATACTGCTGCTGATGATGATGCTGATCAGGATGAGGCGGGGGAGGAGGCTGATGAGGATTGTCAGGACGATGATGGTGATGGTGATGGCGATGATGGTGATGGAGTGATGGTGATGGTGATGGTGATGGTGATGATGATGATGACGATGGTGGTGGTGGTGATGATGATGATAATGAGGACGGGTGTTTTGATGCTGCTGCTGCTGAGGATGATGATGAGGATGCTGTTTATGCTGCTGGTAGTGATCGTGGTGGCCATGACGATCAAGACTGTGGTTGTGGTGGTGGTGGTGATGCTGCTGCTGATGATGAGGATAACGACGACGATTAGGAGGCTGATGACGATGATGGTGAGGACGATGTTGGCTATGGTGATGACGACAAGGATGATAATCATGACGATGATGATGATGCTGATGATGGTGACGATGACGATGATGATGATGATGATGCTGCTGATGTTGATGCTGCTGCTGATGATGATGGTGATGACGATGCTGCTGATGATGATGATGACGATGCTGATGATTATGATGATGCTCATGATGCTGATTATGATGATGATGAGTGTCGTGGTGGTGATGCTGATGTTGAAGATGTTGATGATGCTGACGATGATGATGATGATGATGATGATGATGATGATGATGATGATGACGATGATGATGATGATGATGATGATGGGGATGATGCTGTCTTTTCTGAGGATGATGAGGGTAAAACTGACGATGATGTTGATGATGCTGATGCTGAGGATGATGGTAATGATGATGACGATGATGATCATGGTGATGACGGCGATGATGGAACTGATGGTGATGATGATGCTAAGAATGCTGCTGATGATGATGGGGATGATGATGATGCTGATGATGGTGATGCTGATGGCGATGCTGCTGCTGCTGCTGATGATGATGATGATGCTGCTGATGATGATGATGATGATGATGATGATGGCGATGGTTTGATGATGATGCTGGTGATGATGGTGCTGCTGATGATGAGGATGATGCTGAGGACGACGATGACGATACTGCTGCTGCTGCTGATGATGATGATGATAATGCTGATGATGATGATGATTCTGATGCTGATGATGGTTAGACTGATCATGCTTTCTGCGGCTAACCCCGCAACTGTGTCCGCGCAGCACCTTGACAGGACAGAGTTTGAACTTATGTACAGCTTGAGGGGTGCGTCGAAGTGAACAGGTCTACGTTTGACACATACTGTATACCCAGGCTTCTGTGATGCACGCTTTGTGTGAGGGGTGCGCTGGAATTTTGCCGTTGTGGGTTGTGCACAATCAATCTACCCAGGCTTTTCGGCGGCACCGCTTGCGTGAAGGGTCCGTCTAGTGGGAGAATTCGTCGGGCGGTCTGACTTGAGGCGGGTCGTAAACTCGACCTCATCTTCGTTTGCGCGGTAGGGAGGGCTGTGGCGGGTCGCAAACTCGACCTCGTTTTCGTCCGTGCGGTAGGTAGGAGGCCGAGTGCACGCCTCGCGGCAGTTCAGCGAGCGGTTTGATTTGAGGCGTGTCGTGAACTCGGCCTCGCTTCTCTGGGGTCTCTGCAGGGCTTCTCGGGAGCTTGCTTCATAAGGCCCTTTTTGGAAGCCTTTGGTGGTCTATTGTGAGTCTTCTGGAGGCCTCCTTGGGCCTCTCGGTGGTGCCTTTGGGGCTTCGGGGCGAACTTGAAGCCACGTTGGGGGTCCTGGAGGGACAGGCTTTCGAGGCCAGCTCGATTTCACCCTCTCGGGCCCCCTACTGGGACCTTCTTTGGGGCCTCTTGGGCCGTCTTGGGGGCCTCTTGAGCTCTCTTGGGTCCTTCTTGGGCCATCTGAGGACTCCCTCGGGTCGTCATGGAGCCTTTCTGAGCCGTCTTTGTGCCCTCTTTGTGCCCTCTTTGGGCCCTCTTGGGCTGTCTTGGAGCCCTCTTGTGAGCCTGTGGGCCAGTCTTGGGTTTTCGGAAGCCCGAAAGGGACAGGATGTCAAACTCATGCAAGCACCTGAGGGGAATCCCTCGAGGGCCTCTTGGGCGTCCTCGGAGCCCTCCTGGGAGGTGTTGGAGACCTCTTGGGCCGTCTCGATGCCATGTTGGGCCATCTTGGGGCACTCTTGCGCCGTCCCGAAGCCTTTGTGGGCAGTCTTGGAATCGTCTTGGACGCCTTCCGGCCCTATCTTGGGGTCAGCTTCGCTGTATTTTGATGTTTTTTTGGCTCTCTTAGAGGTGCCTAAAGGCAGTCAAAAATGCCGGAAACGATATAAGGGGGGGGAGTGTAGAGACGCGTGCTTCGCAGGGGGTGGGGTAGGCCCCAGAAAATATTGGAGAAACCTTCCCAGGCAACAACATAACATTATAGCACGCCTGATGACGATAATGATGATGATGATGATGATGATGATGATGATGATGATGATGATGATGATGATGATGATGATGATGATGATGATGATGATGATGATGGTGGTGGTGGTGGTGGTGATGATGATGATGATGATGTTGATGATGGTTATGATGATGACGATGCGATGGCGATGATAAGACTGCTGATGATGATTCTGATTATGATGATGAAATTCATGGCTACGATGAACATGGCGATAATGATTTTGGTGGTGATTCTGCTGATGATGATTCTGATAGCGGTGATGATGATATTGGTGCTGATGTTACGGCTGCTTCTAGTGCTCTTGATGACGACGAGGACGACGACGCTTTGGATGATTATGATACTGATAATGATGATTATGCTGCTCATGATCTTGCTCACGATGGTGATGTTGACGCTAGTGTTAATTATGATGATGCTGATGCTGATGCTGATGATGATGGTGATTGTGATGGTGATGGCGATGACGATGCTGCTGCTGCTGATGATGATGATGATGACGATGATGATGATGATGATGATGATGATTATGCAGATGATGATATTGATGATAACGGTGATGATGGTGGTGATTGGTTTGATAATGATGATGATGATGGTGGCAATGATGGTGAGGATGATGATGCTTTTGTTGCCGTTGCTGCTGATGATGGTGTCGTTGATGCTGACGTGGTTTATATTTGACGAGCATGATGGTAATATAAGCAGGCTGACGGCGAGGATGATGATGATGAGGATGATGATGATGCTGATGATGATGATGATGATGAGGATGATGATGATGATGATGACGATGATGATGATGACGATGGTGATGATGATGATGCTGACGATGACGATGATGATGCTGATGATGATGATGCTGATGCTGCCGATGATGATGATGCTGATGATGATTGATGCTGATGATGCTGATGAGGATGCTGATGCTGATGATGATGACGATGATTTTGATGATGATGCTGATTCTGATGATGATGATGTTGATGATGCTGATGATGATGAGGAGGAGGAGGGTGCTGATGATGATGAGGATGCGGATGACGATGATGATGATGATGATGATGATGATGATGCTGATGATGCTGATGCTGATGATGATGCTGATGCTGCTGCTGATGATGATGATGATGCGGTTGATGTTGAAGTTGATGTCGATGTTGTTGTTGATGATGATGATGATGCTGATGCTGATGCTGATGCTGATGCTGATGATGATGATGATGATGATGATGATGATGATGATGATGATGATGATGATGATGATGGTGATGATGATGATGATGATGATGATGATGATGATGATGATGATGATGCTGGTGATGATGATGATGATGATGATGATTTATGATGATGATGATGATGATGATGATGATGATGATGCTGATGATGCTGATGATGATGATGATGATGATGATGAGGAGGAGCAGGAGGAGGAGGAGGAGGAGGATGAGGAGGAAGAGGAGGAGGAGGAGGAGAAAGAGGAGGAGGAGCGGGAGGGGGAAGGACAACGAGGGAGGGATACGGATGGGAAGGATAGCAGGATGAGGAGGAGGGGGAGGAGCGGGAGCAGGAGGAGCAGAATGGGGAGGAGGAGGGGGAGGAGGAAAACGAGGAGGAAGGTGTGGGGTGGAACATCACGATGTGGTAGGAATATGAGGCTCCCCACAGGTACAACATACTTCGCGACCTGAGTTGCTGCAGTTGTAGGCGGAGCTTACAAGAGCAAGGAGCTGCGGTCACATAGGCTCTAAACAGCGGCCAGATGGAATGACGTAAATGGGACATAGGCCATAGGTTGGCCTGTCTCCGAAGTGACAGGTCTTCAAAGGAGAGGGTGGATCGCACGGACCAGCACTGACAGCCATGCGCCGCCGCTGGCAGTAGATGCGGCCGCGGGTAGCTGGCATCATACAGCAAGTGGCGATAGTCGGCCGAATTTCTGCTGCGCAGCCAGGACACATATCTGCTTCTTCGGCGGTGCAGGTCGTGGTCTTCATCATCTTCAATCATGACATCTCGTGATAGCTGTCATCGACAGACGTGCCCATACAAGGTCTGGCGTAGATGCGCGGACAGGTGAGTACACCCAAAGGGGTCGGCTTGGTGCCGATAAAATACACCATTCATTTCCCTTCCAGGAAACGAAATGCCCGTCCCACGCTACCCGACCCTGGCGACCGCTTAGGTTGCAACAGTTGTGCCGCAAGTGTTTAAACAGGATGCAGCCCAAGAGGTGGGAAGCGGCCTGACCATAGTTTTGCTTGGAGGGGGAGGAGGAGGAGGCGGAGGGGGGAGAGGCAGGAGGTGACGAAGGAGGAGGAGAGGGAGAGGAAGAAGAGGAGGAGGTGGAGCAGGACGAGGATGAGGAGGAGGAGGAGAAGGATGATGATGATGATGACGACGATGACGATTACGATGACGACGATGATGATGATGATGATGATGATGATGATGATGATGATGATGATGATGATGATGATGATGATGGTGATGATGATGATGATGATGATGATGATGCTGACGATGACGATGACGATGATGATGATGATGTGATGGTGATGAGGAGGATGAGGATGAGGATGAGGATGAGTATGATGATGAAGAATGAGGATGACGATGATGATGCTGATGATGATGATGAATGATGCTTTGATGATTATGATGATGATGATGATGATGAATGATGAGATGATGATGAGGATGATGATGATGATGATGATGATGATGATGATGATGCTGATGATGATGATGATGATGATGTGATGAGGATGGATGATGATGATGATGATGGATGATGATGATGATGATGATGATGATGATGATGCTGATGATGATGATGCTGATGATGATGATGATGATGATGATGCTGATGTTGAGGAGGAGGAGGAGGAGGAGAGGATGGGCGGAGGAGGACGGAGGAGAAGGGCGGAGGAGGAGGAGGAGGAGGAGGAGGAGGAGGAGGAGGATCGTGTGTCGCGGTTGTAGCTTTGCTGGATGCATTTGAGGCATTTCTTGGCCCCCCTTGGGCATCCCAGGACCTGCCACAGGCCGCCAGGAACCCCTGGAGACGGATGGGCACACCTCCGCCGAGGAAGCCCAGGAATGTACAAAGGCGCGCGGATCGTCGATGGGCCTCGTTTCCTCAAAGGCTCGACACTCCCTGTCGCCCAATCAGGCGGGTACCTTCCCCGATCCATGGCTTTGGCGCCCGCGAGCCAGAGCCACGGAGCCGTAATCCAGATCAGCGTGCGCCCGACACCGGGGGATCTTTGGAGGGAAGACCGATCAGATCGCCCGGACTAGACTCTGTCCTCGTGCGGGCAATGCTCGCAGTTACGCGCGCGTTGGCGCCAGGTGATCTTCGTCTGCGTGGGATTCACGTGGTCCACAGGGGCGTCGGTGGGCTTCATGTCCGAGCTGGTCCCCGAGGACAGGAAGGCGTTCTCCCGCCTCCCTCCCTTCCTCCCTCGTCATCGCGCCTCCCACTTCGCTGTTCCTCGTCGTCGTCGTCGTCGTCGTCTTCCTCCTCCTCGCGGCTGTGGTGGCAGCCAGCGCGCAAGCGGGAAGAGAAACGCAGGCCGCAGCTATCTCTCGGCGGCGGCGAGCGAAGGGGGGAAATCAGAAGGTGCGGGCCTTCTGATAAGATTTCTAAGCATTTCCCGAAGACATAGAAAAGACAACTTCTCAGAAGGCGCGAGGGCTTCTGAGAAGTCCCGCCGCCTTCTGAGAAGGCCTTCTCCTTCTCATTTCCCCCGTCGTTCGCCGCCAAACCTCAGTCTCACTCGCAGCTGTCCCGGTGGTCCCCTGCGTGTGCGGCCTCTCCTGCGCCCTGCTGCTGCTGCTGCTGCGCTGCTCTTCCCACCTACACCTGCTCCTCGTGCTCCACCTTCCCCCCGTCCTCTTCCTCCCCATCGCTCTTCCTTCTCCGTCTCCCTTCTCCCTTCTCCTCCTTTCTCTTCTCTCCTCCCCCTCCCTTTCTCCCTTCCTCCCTTTTCCTTCGCCCTTCCCCGTTCTCCTTTCGCCTCCCCCCTCTCTTTCGCGTTCCTCTGTTTCCTCCTCTTCCCTCCTCCTCCACCTCCTCCTCCGCCTCTTTCCTTTTTTCCCTCTTCCTTTCTCGTTCTTTCTCCCCCCCTCCACCCTCCCCCTCTCTCCCTCCTCCTCCTCCTCGTCCTCCTCCTCCTCCTCCTCCTCGTCCTCCTCTTCCATTATCCTCTCTTCTCCTCTTTCTCTTCCATTCTCTCCTTTCATCTCCCCACCTCCACCCTTCCTCCTCCCTCCTCGCTCCTCCCTCCTCCTTCCTCGCTCGTCCTTCTCTCCTCCTTCCTTTTGCTCCAGCCAGATCCCCCTGCTCTTCTTCCTCCTGCTTCTCCTTCTTTTTGACGTTGGTCAGTCTCTAGCGCGGTGGCTGTAGCGCTTTTATGGGGAAAAGCAGTGCGCGTCCGACTGAGGCAAAGCGACGAACAATTTTAGCAGGCGGCGCGTGCAATGCTTCTCCTCCTCCTCCTCCTGCTTCTCCTCTTCCTCGTCCTCTTCCTCTCCTTCTCCCTCCCTCTCTGCCCCTTCCTCTCCGCCCTCTTCGTATTCCCTCTCCTCTCCTCCATATCCTAGTCCCCCTCCTCCTCCTCCTCCCTCCTCCTCCTCTTCCTCCTCTCCTCAAATTACATCAATATGAAAATACTTCCCACTTACCTGATGGCGTCCGGAAGATATTTCGGCACCCCCGGTCCTGTTTTTTTTTACACACAGAGGATTCCCGGAGTTGGGTTTTCGCTTGTGTTTTTTCTAAAATGCTGCTCTCGTGAGGGCGTGGCCTCATTTCTGCTCCCGAATCGTTCCGAATCATGCTCCCGCTGCAGCGTGGGCCTCATTTTCGGATCGGTGCTTGGCCTCCGTCGTTCAGGATGGCGTTCTCGCCCCAGCGCGGGTCTTTCTCGCGCGCCCATCCGCCCGCCACCACCGCGCCGCACCACCACCACCACCACCACCACCACCACCACCACCACCACCACCACCACCACCACCACCACCACCTCCACCACCGCCAGCACAGCACCAGCACCAGCACCAACACCAGCACAGCACAGACCCGCACCACACCTCCACACCACCACCACCACCACCACCACCACCACCACCACACCACGCACACACGCACGCACGCACGCACGCGCACCACCACCCACTAGTTACGCACGCGCGCGCGGAGCCACAGGTCCGCTGCGACACGCGTCCGCGGATAGAGAAAATCAGCGCCATGGTAAGGGATGGGAGGGAGGGGTAGGACGTCAGATATGACGCGAGCGCACCTAGCTTGTCCTCCTCCCCCTCCCCCTTTCCCTCCTTCCCCTCCTCCTCCTCCCCTGTGCCCTTTCCTCCCTCTTGCGCCCTTCCTTCCTTCCTCCCGCCCCCTTGCCCTTCGTCTGCTCTCTCCACGGGAGCGATCCAGCCCAGGCACTCGGCGTGTATCCGGTGTGGCTCTTCTACGTGTCCATAGCCTGGATGATCCTCATCGCCTGATGCCGGGCGTCCGCGTGCGGCCCGGGCGCCCGTGGTCCTCGTCCTCTCGGCCACCCTCCCGTGACGGTGCTGCGGAAACGTCGCTCGCGATTTCTGCAGAAGCGCACGGAGCCAGGCCGGCGCAGCATGGGGGCGCGGCTGACCCGTGCACCGCGTCGCGCTCCCGCGCCTCTCGACTTCCTCCCTGTTCCTCCTCTCCCCCTTTCCCCCATCCTCATTCCTCTCTTCCCTGCCACGTCCTCATTCCCCTCCCATTCATCACGCTTCTGTAGGGCTTAGCAGTTAAGCAATAGCGTAATAGCTTTCCGTATGGATTCATTCCGTATGGACCTAGTCTCTCCTGATGCGCTGGCCTGGCGGTTCCGCCTTCCGCTGCGCGTCAATTTCGGGCGTACCGGCCTATCGTCGATTCGAGGCTGCTGGGAGTTTCAGATGGAGTAAGTCATACGGAGACCGAGCTTTCCGTATGGATTTATTGATAAGGTCTTACGGCCCGTGCCGCCGACCCTGAAGACGACGACGACGAATACGGGGAGGAGGAGGAGGAGGGGATGAAGGTGGAGGGGAGCAGGAGAAGGCGAAGGAGATGTTCCCCACGTGGCCTGCGGCCCTTCCCGCCACCGTGCTTTCCGTATGTATTTATTCTGTATGGACCTTGTCTCTCCTAATTTGCTGCCTTGGCAGTTCCGCCTGGCTGGGGCGGGGAACAATACCAACAAGGCATGCGGGTGGTGTCGTCCACAAGCCGAGGACGATTCGCCGCACAGTGTGAGCAGCAAGGGTCCCCGGCGGGCGGGAGGGGGTTTCCCCCCATTCGTCCAGTCCTGTATTTTAGTATCTTTGTCGCTCATCGGTTCGGTCGGGTCTGTCTGGACCTCGGAGATCGCGACTTCTGCTGAGTCAGGGGACAAACTGAAGCATATCGGTGGTAATGTTTTGTGAAGCAATGCGTTGGTGAAGTATATCGGCGGCCATGCTGCGCGCTGTGCGAGGCAACTCGATGATGGAACTCGTCTGCGTTCGCGCTTCGTGGCGCCACACGTTTGTGAAACGTATCGGGCGTTATACATGCCAGAGATCCCTGGTCGTTTCGGCTTGCGAGTTGTCTACCTGGCTTGCCTATTTGAGTTGATTGTGTTAATTGGTGCCTCGGTTGACTTGCTTCACTGGGTTGCTCCCTTGGTCGTTCCGGCAATGCGCGTTGTCCTCGTGATCGCCTCGGCTGCTGCCAGCTTCGCCGAGCGCCTTCCACTACTCGCGAAGTGCCTACTCGCCAACGTCCGAAAAACACTTGTCTGCTTTGATGTTATTCATCGTAGATCCCCGGCGGGGGATCCAGGCCATTTGCGAGTAGTTACTTTGCGAGTAGTGGAACGCGCTAGACCAGATTGACTACCCGAGAGGATGACCCGAGTTGACTGATCTTGCTGCTCGGTCACGGTTCCTCATTCTGCGCAGTGCCGCGTAGTGATCACCAGGTTGCTGCGGTGTCCGTCCGCCAGATCCCTGTCCTGATTTGAAGCTCCTGATTCAAGTCGGGCGTGTTCCCCTACAGGGGATTTTTTTCGGAACAATAAAAATACTAAAATTATCCCAGTGCGACCCTACCTAGGAGTTGGAACCCCTAGGAAAGCAGCATTAGTAGTAACAGTAACGCTAAGCTAAAGCTAAGCTAAAGCTAAGCTAAAGCTAAGCTAAGGCTAAGCCACAGCTAAGCTAAAGCTAAGCTAAAGCTAAGCTGAAGCTAAGCTAAAACTAAGCTAAAGCTAAGCTACAGCTAAGCTAACTATAAGCTAAAGCTAAGCTAAATCAAAGCTAAAGCTAAACTAAAGCTAAGCTAAAGCTAAGCTAAAGCTAAGCTAAAGCTAAGCTAAATCTAAGCTAAAGCTAAGTTCAAGCTAAGCTAAAGCTAAGCTAAACGCTAAGCGAAAAGCTAAGCGAAACGCTAAGCTAAAGCTAAGCTACAGCTAAGCTAAAGCTAAGCTAAAGCTAAGCTAAAGCTAAGCTAAAGCTAAAGCTAAAGCTAAAGCTAAAGCTCCCAGTGGACTGGGGGGAACCGCTCCCAGGGGACTGGGGGAACCGCCCGGGGCGCTTAGCACTGCCCGGCCCCTTTAAGCTCAGAGAGTAAGAACCCTTCTAGGCAGAGCCTAGGTATGGGAAACAAATATCCCAGTGCGACCCTACCTAGGAGTTGGAGCCCCTAGGAAAGCAGCATTAGTAGTAACAGTAAAGCTAAGCTAAAGCTAAGCTACAGCTAAACTACAGCTAAACTAAAGCTAAGCTACAGCTAAACTACAGCTAAACTAAAGCTAAGCTAAAGCTAAGCTAAAGCTAAGCTAAAGCTAAGCTAAAGCTAAGCTAAAGCTAAGCTAAAGCTAAAGCTAAAGCTAAGCTAAATCTAAGCTAAAGCTAAGCTAAAGCTAAGCTAAAGCTGAGCTGCAGCTGAGCTACAGCTAAGCTGAAGCTAAGCTAAAGCTAATCTAAAGCTAAAGCTAAAGCTACAACTAAGCTGAAGCTAAGCTAAAGTTAAGCTAAAGCTAAGCTAACGCTAAATTAACGCTAAGCTGAAGCTAAGCTAAAGCTAAGCCAACGCTAACCTAAAGCTAAGCTAAAGCTAGCTAAAGCTAAGCTAAAGCTAAGCTAAATGTAAGCTAAAGCTAAGCTAAAGCTAAGCTAAAGCTAAACTAAATCTAAGCTAAAGCTAAGCTAAAGCTAAGCTAAAGCTAAGCTAACTATAAGCTAAATCTAAGCTAAAGCTAAGCTAAATCAAAACTAAAGCTAAACTAAAGCTAAGCTAAAGCTAAGCTAAAGTTAAGCTACAGCTAAGCTAAAGCTAAGCTAAAGCTAAGCTAAAGCTAAGCTAAAGCTAAAGCTAAAGCTAAAGCTAAAGCTAAAGCTAAAGCTCCCAGGGGACTGGGGGAACCGCGGGGCGGGGACTGGGGGAACCGCCCGGGGCGCTTTGCACTGCCCGGCCCCTTTAAGCGAAGACTATGGCTGGACTCCCAATTCTAGGCAGAGCCTAGGTAGGGAACATTCCAATATGGTGAAAATATATACGCAAACAATAGTCCCCAGACTATGTGTTTGTTACCTAACAGCGAAGACTGATAGTTTTCTAGTAGTGTCAAAAGAGCATCTTGACTCCCCAGGGGGGTCTGGGCGGGTGCCGGGGAGAACCCCGCGGAAGTCGTTTTAAGCAAACAGTTACACACTTCGTGGTCTTCGAGGTCCCAGAACTCCATTCCCGGGCCACATTCTGAATGCCCGGAGCCAACTGTAGGCCACTTCGTGTTCTTCGAGTTCCCAGAACTCCGTTCCCTGGCCACATTGTGAATGCCCGGAGCCAACTGTAGGCCACTTCGTGGTCTTCGAGTTCCCAGAACTCCATTCCCTGGCCACTCCCATCGTGGTCTTCGAGGAAATCCATTCCCACATTTTGAATGCCCGGAGCCAACTGTAGGCCACTTCGTGGTCTTCGAGTTCCCAGAACTCCATTCCCGGGCCACATTTTGGATGCCCGGAGCCAACTGTAGGCCACTTCGTGGTCTTCGAGTTCCCAGAACTTCATTCCTGGGCATGATTTTGAATGCCCGGAGCCAACTGTAGGCCACTTCGTGGTCTTCGAGTTCCCAGAATTCCATTCCCGGGCCACATTTTGAATGCTGAGGCAGGCTGAGGCTGAGAGCAGGCTAGAGGCAGGGCTGGGCTGAGGCGCCGAGGCTGAAGGCAGCTGAGGCTGAGGCTGAGGCAGGCTGAGGCTGAGGCTGAGGCAGGCTGATGCTGAGGCAGGCTGAGGCTGAGGCTGAGGCTGATGCAGGCTGAGGCTGAGGCAGGCTGAGGCCGAGGCTGAAGGCAGACTGAGGCTGAGGCTGAAGCAGGCTGAGGCTGAGGCTGAGGCTGAGCTGAGGCTGAGGCTGAGGCAGGCTGAGGCTGAGGCAGGCTGAGGCTGAGGCAGGCTGAGGCAGGCTGAGGCTGAGGCTGAGGCAGGCTGATGCTGAGGCAGGCTGAGGCTGAGGCAGGCTGAGGCTGAGGCTGAGGCTGAAGCAGACTGAGGCTGAGGCTGCAGGCTGAGGTGAGGCTGAGGCAGGCTGAGGCGAGGCTGAGGCCGGCTGGCTGCTAAGGCTGATGAGCTGAGGCAGGCTGAGGCTGAAGGAGGCTGAGTGGCAGGCTGAGCAGGCTGAGGCTGAGGCAGAGGCTGATGGGCTGAGGCAGGCTGATGTGAGGCGGCTGAGGCTGAGGTGAGGCTGATGCAGGCTGAGGCTGAGGCAGGCTGAGGCTGAGGCCGAGGCTGAAGGCAGACTGAGGGTGAGGCTGAGCAGGTGAGCTGAGGCTGAGGCAGGCTGAGGCTGAGGCTGAGGCTGAGGAGGCTGATGCTGAGGCAGGCTGAGGCTGAGGCTGAGGCTGATGCAGGCTGAGGCTGAGGCAGGCTGAGGCTGAGGCCGAGGCTGAAGGCAGACTGAGGCTGAGGCTGAAGCAGGCTGAGGCTGAGGGCTGAGGCAGGCTGAGGCTGAGGCTGAGGCAGGCTGATGCTGAGGCAGGCTGAGGCTGAGGCTGAGGCTGAGGCTGATGCAGGCTGAGGCTGAAGCAGGCAGAGGCTGAGGCCGAGGCTGAAGGCAGACTGAGGCTGAGGTTGAAGCAGGCTGAGGCTGAGGCTGAGGCAGGCTGAGGCTGAGGCTGAACACCTCGACACAGAGCGGCAGTGCCAGCAGCAGGGGATCGTGTTCATTCCCCTCGTGGCGGAGCCCTCTTGAGGATGGGGCCCGACTGGCGCCGAGACTCTGCGCCGGCTCGCCCGGGCCAGCGATCGGAGACGAGGCGAGGAGCTGGGGGCGGGCGCGGCACGCCTGTTCCAGCGCGTCTGTCGTGGCGATCGTCGGGCGACGGCGCGAGCAGTCCTGAGGAGGCACGCGGAGCTCCCCTCGGCTGGCGGAGCTGTGGCTGCCGCGCCAAGCTTGCTGGCAGAGCTGGTGGAGGACGACGCTTAGAGCGTGTCCCGCCGT